CAAGGGGACGAGCAGGGGCCGATTTAGCTGGCAGTTCTCAAAGGATTGTTTAATCTTATGCTTCGCTTTTACTGGTTCTTCCGTCCCTCACTGAGAGTCTCGGTCCGGGACCCCAGGGTTCCCCAGAATGACCGAAGGAGGGCCGAGGCTAATGTGTGTCCCGAGTGGCCCCGGGTGGACCTTTGCCTCCAACCCTCTACGGAGGCTTTTGTTGGTGATACGCTGGGACTTTTCAGGTTCATTGAAAGAATAATTTGGAAAACAATTTATAATGGGTAAAATGCCTCTTCCCAATTACCCCACTTTCATAGACCCTGGCAGTTCATTCTTCGTCACCATAGCAACCCACAGCCTGTGACAGGAGGAGCGAGCAGCACCCGGGCAGGTCTGGGGCTGACAGTGCCGCCAGGTGGGGGACGTGGGCCCGGTGCCCTCAGAACCTTCTCACGAGCCCTGGGCACCCCGACACTGGGCACTGAGGCCACCCTTTTGTACGATCTTGCAGCTACAGATTAGATACATACTGAACTCCCGAATCACCGACTGGTCACTAGGGCCGTATTGGAGGCGTGTGCAGAGGAGAATCCCAGCTCCACACCGGGCCCTGGGCCGGGGACAGAAACTACCGTGGTGGGGAAGGCCACGCGAAGCTTCTCAAGTTCCACCCCCCCCCACCAGCCACGACAACAAACAACAATGATCCCTGGTCAGGGGTGGAAAACCCTTCCACAGCCATAGAGTGTTCAGGGGATGCACACGCAGGCACACCCACCAAGAGGGGCGCACCACCATGGCTGAGCTAAGTACTCGGGGTCGGCACAAAGACCCCACGGCCCACACCGCTGGAACCGTTTCCTCTCGGGCCCTGGGCAGACAGAGCCGGTGACTGCTGAGCCCAGAAGGCTTGTTGGAAGGGACTGAGGGCCCGGTCCCGTGGCCTGCAGGGCCCCGTGGACTTTTTCCTCAGCTCCCCGCAACCCCGCCATGCGACTTTAGTACCATGTGCCCTGTGTTTGATTCTGTACTTGATGTCTGTCTGTGCTTTAGCCACAAAGGAGTAAGAGAGCTTCTCTCTCCAGGAACCTGTTTCCCCAACCCGATGCCATTAGAGAATGAACGGGTTAGATCTCAGTGCTGTCCGTCCACGTGATGCCAGTCTCGCTGGGTGACCTTTCTCGGTAGAGCAGGCGTGTCTGCTAAGAGGGGCAGCCCGCACTGACCAGACCAACCCGGTGCCGGCACGTGGACAGAGGCAGCTGCTGTCTTGGAAGGAGGAGGTTTTGATCTGTCAGAAGGGCGTGTGTTTCTCATTGGGTCTCCCCAACACAGTGCAGGTGAATGTGGACACTCCCTCTACACAGACCAGCCCTGAGGTCAAGTGTCTGCGTCCAAGGCCACTCACGCCGCGAACTACGAAGCCAGACATGAACCCAGATCTGCATCAGATCTGACCACCGCACCGTGTGGGGATCGTTCCCTCTCTCGGGGCCGTGGCGGTTTCATTTGCAGAGAAACCCTGAGAACAGAGACTGCCTCCCCGGCCATCAAGCAAGACCCGGGACCCAGATGGGGAAGGGAGTCCCAGCAGGCCCTCGGTGACCCTGGGCCTTGATCTCTTGGCCACAGTTGAGTGTCCAGAGGTCAGCTGAACCCGCTAAGGCCACCACATCCCCGGGCTGGGGAACTTGAACCTCGCAGAGGACAACTCCGGCCCCATGGGGGCTCAGCGGAGTCCCTCTAGGGCAGGGTGCAGAGGGAGCAGGGACAGCTGAGGTTTCCAAGAGGGTGGGGTCCCACTTCCCCTCGGGCCCTTCCCTCAGGGCCGTGTACTTCCTCTTCCTTTGGGGACTTTGGCCAAGGCTTCGTGTCATGAGAGTAGTAGCTTCAGGGCCTGTTAAGACAACCCGGTTGCCATGCCGTCCCAGTGTCCGAAAGGTCGCCGCCACCAGCGTTCAGGCTCCTGTCCCCAGGGCTCCTCTCCCAAATTTAAGTGTCATTTCTCCCATGTCCCACTCAGCCTGGAGAGGCAGGCTTCCCGCTGTGTGTGATCAGGGTGGCCTCGCTGTCCCCTGTTTGGACCCTCAGCCATTCCATGACTCGCATGACCGCTTCCCCGAGTTAAACACTGAACAGAAACTCCTGTTCTTCTGTCCCCTGCTGCCCACGCTTGGGCCGCCTGGTATGTGGGTTTGTAGGTGGGTCTTCGGTTCCCACTAGGCCCCAGCTGGGGTCCTGCACGTCAGCTCAGTCTGACACTAACTGCCTGGCGAGGTCCCACACGCTGTCCCCACAGGACAGGGCAGTGGCCAGCAGGGGGTCTCCAGGTTACCTATGACCTCTCTCCAACTTGGCGCTAAGGCAGGAGTTTCCATGACCCCCTCCTCAGGCTCAACAATGAGCTATAAGGCTCCACAGGACTCATTACAGAGGATGTCATTAAGGATGCTGACTAATGGCCAGGTGCGGAGGTGCCTCGGGCAAAGTCCGGAAGGCCCCGGGCACAGGCGCTCCTTTCCCTGTTCAGCCGGTGGAGGGATGCTCCCCCCTCCCTGCGTGTGGGTGCTCCCTGACCTGGAAAATCCCTGGAGGGATTTTTATGGAGGCTGCCTCACCACCCACAGTCTGTTACTGACTCAATCTTCAGTCTCTCCCTGCTCCCCCCCTGAGGGCAGGGGCAGGGCTGGAAGTTCACAGCTTCTAAGCAAGGCTTGGCCTTTTTGGTGACCAAGTCCCCACCCTGGAGGCATCCAGGAGCCACCAGGAGGGGCCTCATTAGAACGGAAGCTACCCCATCACCCAGGGAAGTCAAGGGATTTCAGAGCTCTGTGTGGGGAACAGGGGCGGAGACTATTATGTGTATTTCTTCTTATGTGATAAACATTCTCTGTTTAAAAGACCCAGAACGATTTCTGTTTACCTAGAATGCCCCCCACTGATTTCATCTCCAAGCTCCCAGGTTCCTTCCCACCCACTGTGTCTAAGATGTTTGTGTTTGTCTTTATTATTTCTTTGAACTGCCCTAACAGAGTCCCAGGAAACCCAGCCCACCACACACACACACACACACACACACACACACACACACACACACACTTTTTTTCTAACAGAGTTAGGCAGTGCTGCTTTTAGGTTTTTGTCACCAACAGAACCTGAGCCCTTCTGTGCCTGAACTGCTCCCTAAACTGTAAAGCGTCTTTTGAATCTGTGCCGGTCGTGGGAGGGGCTGGGTGAATGTTTGCAGAGCATTGACATGCGCGCCTTGGCCCCTGGCCGACACGCACACGCAGGCAGAGGGGCTGACGTGTTGTCGTGTGTGTCATCCTCACCGTCACTGGGGGTCTGCTCTCGTCCACTTCAGCCTGACGTCCTTGCCTCCAGGTTTCATTGCGGCTGCACCAGAAACCGGAGGCGTGAGGGCTGCAGAAATTCACTCTGCCTCCTGGCTTTCGGGGGAGCGGGGCAGGTTGTTTTCCGAAGGGATGGGGGTGGAGACTTATGTTCGGGATCTCACGGTAGACGACCTTTGGACCTGCTGCAAAGGGAATGGGAGGTCCCTGTGGAGGCCACAGAGAAAGAGAACTCCTGGGGATCTCCAAGGGGGGCAGAGGTTGGGCTCTGCTCACCGTGGGGACCCCAGACTCGACCTCGGTTCTCGACATCAGTGGAGGTTGATCATGCTGCTGTGTCTTCAGACCCAGGAGCATGATGCGAGGGGAAGGGGCAGGGCCAAGAAAACCTCCTCTCCCGGGTTGGACAGGCTTCCCCTTTGTTTCAGAGGGTCTCAGAGCTGGAAGGGACCTCAGGAGGCAGGGGGCTGAAGGGCCTCATTTCACACTGAGAGACCGAGGCTCAGGTTTGAGAAACCAGCTTTATGTCGGTGAATGGGGAAGTCAAGCCTTGCCCCCTGTCCCCCCACCACCACCGGGACACCAGATCTGTGTCATTACGTGTCTGAAATGTACCGTAAAGGGGTCTGATTAGAATAAACCAGGCTTTTCTTTCAAAACCTTCCTGAGCCGGTAAATATTACTCATTAAGCCTTTAGAGAGAATTATTTTGGTCAAATTACATTTCTTTCAGCTACACTGTGAATGTGGAAGTTATTTGAGGAGAAAGGGGGGGCATATGGGGCCCCGCTGGGGCTGTGATGAAGGTCAGCTCAGGTAGGACTGGGTGGGGGGAGCGGAAGGCTGAAAAGAATTCAGGATCCCGAGACAGCATGAAGGAAGCCGCGATGGGAAAATGTAATACAACAAAGCAAAGCAAAACCAGGGCTCCAGCATCCCGGGCCCCACCCAGCTCAGCCCCCTTCGAGCAGCAGTGCCTTTCTGGAAGGTATGCCCCCTTACAGGGGTCAGCTTCCCCCCTGTGCAGTGGAGTTAGAAGATCCCCCGCCTGCCTGTTCTCCCTGCGTGTAATGAAATCAAGCAGGTTAATGAAAAGCCCCAGGCGAAAAGGCATGCTCATCCCTCCAGGGAGGCGGGGCTGCTCCCCTACTGCCTCTCTCAGAGGCAGGCAAGTCCGTCAGTGCAGCAGGGACCAGGCCTCAGGCTGAGCCCGGCCTTTCAGGGTGGGAGCGTGGGGACCAAGCAACAAGCCCTGAGGAAGTTTCCTGTTCTTTCCCCCTGACCCGCCCACCATTCTCCCATGTTCTCAGCCAGCCAGGGGCCCAGGCACCCTGAGCTCTGCCCATACCCTCCAGGGAGCCGCAGAGCTGGTCACACAAAGACAGATCGCGGGGAAAGGGAAACCCAGTTGCGATTGAATGTGGCCCAGTTCAGTCTTGACCTTAACAGGGAAACTGGAAGAGTTTTGCTCCCACGGATGTGTCTTAGACCTGGGGACACAATAGCACGTACGGAGCTCTTAAAATGGGTCACGCCGTGCCAGCCCTCACGGATGCATTTCCTCTCCGTCGCCCTCATAACAGACGTTCGCGTAGGTGGCATCATGCGTGATTGATGGTTGAAGAAACTGACACGGAAACCGTGAATAGGTTTAGTGAACCGAGTGGTTAATGCACAGCAAGGCTGGGGCTGGTGACAAGGACCACCTGACCTGGAAACCGTGCGCCCCCCGCTGTCAGCTGTTCATCATGCGGATGGTATGAGGCCGGCGCCGTGCTCGGCGGTGCTTTGCACGCATTGTCGCCTCTCCCTCTCAGAACAGCTCATCACCGAAGGGCGTTAGGAGTCCCGTGACACTCACAAGAAAGCCGGAGCTCAGAGAGGCCAGAGGCCAGGGCTCAGGCGTGGAGGGACTGCCCCTTCGTGAGAGCCGGCCCGTCTTTCCTGTGGGAGGCAAAGGCACAGTGTGAGTTCAGGTGCCTGGCACTTTCAAAGTCAACATGACCTTCTTTCTTAGGGAGGCAGACTCTAACCCCACGGCGGGAGCTCCCCACGCCCCCTTCACTCGGTGGGTGAGGGGCCAACCTCACTGGGGAGCGCCCCTGGCCCAGCGTTTGCCGTTCTGTCCCCTGCACATCAGAGTCCCTTAGGGGAGGAGAAAAGCCCCGAGTGTCTGTCCAAGGCCACCTGTTCCTCATCTGCTTAATGTACTGAGAGCATTCGCCTGTCAGTGCTCCTCAGCCTCTGCAAACGTCCAAAGGGATGAGAAGGTTACAAAGGCTTGCCGAGACTCAGTCTTCTGGAGAACCGGCCTCCGCGGCGTGACCTTTCATGCCCTTTGCATCCTGGGCCGCCCGGTTTGGGCCGCAGATTTCCACACACCGGCTGCGGCCGCCTTCAGATACACACCTTCTAGAAAGCGGGTGTGAGCGCTGCTGGGCGGGAGCCTCCGTCGGGTTGTCCGATGCCGTAGCCCCCAGTTCCAGGTGACCGACCGCTAAGCACTTGAAATGTGGCCACTACAACTATGGAGCAGTTTTTTGTTCAATTTTAATTACATTTAAGGAGCCACATGTGACCAATGGCGACAGCAGTGGCCAGCAGAGATCTGGACAATCACGGAGAACAGATGAGCCTGGTCACTGATGCACACGCTTACTTTATTGTAAATTTTGGTTTGTTTACCCGATGGGCTTCGCTCGTGGCTCTCTCAGTGTGCATGCCCTGTGGGGATTCGCAGTCGTGGAAACACTTTGCATGAAATTGAGTTCAAGAAGAGGCCAGGTGTCTGCTTATTAGCACCACAGTGTAAAAACTGCCGGGGTCCTCGTTAAAGGATTAAACACTCACGAGTGCAAACAAACAGCCTTTCGTGCGCTCACTGCTGGCCTGCTGCCCAGGGGTGGCGAGGTCCATGGGAAGACACGCAGGATCCGTGGGCTCACGGGGGGCCCTCTGTGCAAGTGGCTGGGGGGTGGGCGGGCTTCTCTGTCCGACCGAGCTGCTGGCTCCTTGCCAGCAAGTTCTCTCCGGGTAGTGGTTCTTTACCCCCTGTCCGTATTGGTTATTGTGCTTTTCATAGCCCTTATCTCCTGCAAGAGTGTTCATTCCTTACAACAATGACCCCGCGTGAAGCTCTGCCACGAGGAACTCTCTCCCAGAGCGTCCTTCTCTCTAACCGCTGAACCGGAAGCGCCGTGTCCACTCCAGTGTCCACACACACAGGCCCCCGAGCCCCATCAGAGACCTGGGTCAGACCTCCTCTGACCTCCTCCTCCTCGTCATACAAAGGCTCAGGCTGCAGGGTGGGCTGGGGAGGCCTGCCATCGCCAAGGGGGCCAGGCGGTCACTGTCATCTCAGCTGTGGACAGACCTCCACCCCCCCGCCCTGTGCTGTCCCCACCCCTGAGGACAGTGGGAAGCTTAGAGAAGTCAAGACACGTTTATTCAGTCTCCTTGCCGTGAGCGAGTGTCGTGCACCTGGTCTGTGCCAGCTGCTGCTCTGGAACGCAATGGTGCAGCAGTGATAGAACGTCCGTCTCTGCTCCCAAAGAGCTCGCGTTCTGCCTGGAGGAGACCGACCACTAGTGAACGAAGAGTCAGTGTGTCTGAGGATAAAGGCCATGATGAGGGACCAGGGAGGAGGCTTCAGGAGAGTGAGGCGGGGCCACCCAGGGGAGGGAACCCAGGCATCGTCTCCGGCAAAGTCGCCTTCCGGGCAGGAACCCGGATAAAGCCTCCAGGTAGTGGGAAAGCAAGTGGAAGGGCCCTGAGGCCAGAGAGTGCTTTGCTCAGTCACACAGTCACACAGTCACACAGGTGACACAGGGCAGGACCAGGATTGGGTCAGCTCTTTCTGATGCACAAAGAGCTTTCTTTATTCTTTTGACCACACTCGCCAGCTCACTTTGTTAGCAACTTTGTCGCTATGGGACATCCAACAACGAGTTGATCTTTTTTTCTCATCTGCAAAAAAAGGAGTTTGGCTACAGTGGGGAAAGCCATGACAAGACAAGTAGGGACATGTCCCCCACAGGGGACTGTTTATTTCCCCAACCTTGGGCGATGGGCATTGTACCCATTTTGCAGATGGAAAAACTGAGGCCCCCAGAAGGGAACTGGCTCTCCTAACATCCCCTTGCTGTATGAGGCAGGGGTTGGATTTGAATGTAAGCTTGTTGAGCTGCACCTGCCACAGTGACTTGTCCCCATGGGGACATTCCCTGCTGCTGCCGCTCTAAGTCCCTCAGTTGGAAGAGCCCAGGGGGACAGCTCAGTGTGTTGTGTGCTGGGCACTGTATGTTGCTCCCAGGTGGCTGAGTTGGTCTTAAATATGAGAAGGGGTCCCGCCCCCTGCTGAGTGAGGACCTGGCAGAATTCGCCATAACAGGTACCCTCTTAATATTAGCTTTCAACAGAAAAGAGGAAAAAATCTTTCACCGAGGCACATGACAGCTGACACATTAGAACTTCATAGCTCCAAATTGCAGACTTATTAAAGCCATTAGAATAATTATGATGGAGGATTTACTTAAAAGCCCATAATGACTTTTCAGACAGCCTTTTGCTCGAGCACCTACTCCCACCTCTGCCACTGTGCCTCCTCCTTCCGACACCGTCCTCGGAGGCCGATGAGAGCTGTGGTCCTCTCTTCGTCCGAGTCCCCAGGGCCCCGGTCTGCGAGCAGCTGGGGAAACCATGCAGCCGGAAGAGCGCGGCGGGGCTTCTCCAGGCCGCCCGGCTTGCATTGGTCAGCTCTTGCATTTCCTTACCCTGTTTGGGAGTCTTGTGTGATGAAACTCCCCCCTTTGGACTGTCTTGGTGGGCAACACAAGTTGTCACTGAGGACAGCCCTCGTGAAACTCACAGAGAAGCCACGTGGCCCGGAGAAGGTGGCCGCAGAGTTTGTGCTTGACTTCTTACATCACTCCGGGAGGGCTCCGTGGCCCTTTCTCCCAGACACCACCTCCAGCAGAGAGTAGGAGCTCACATCATGACAGGCACCCCTTCATTCTCCGGTCTTTTATGAAGTGAAAGATTGTTCGGAAGAGAGGGCTTTAATCATTCATTCATTCATTCATTCATTCATTCAGGAAACGTGCTCCGTAGCAGGCACTGGGAAAAGCTTAAAGAATAAGATGTGGATTCTGCCAGTGAACAAGTGGACAGGACTTCACGTGCACCACAGAAAACACCATGAGAGCAGTGACTGAGCATCGTGCAGTTCAAAGCAAGGTTCTTCTTTGTGGTGAAACTTGACAAGCTGATTAATTATAAAATGGAAAAGGAAAAGCAAAGAACTGGGAACAGCCAAGACCCTGCAGAGGAAGAGCCACAGTGTGGCTGACTGACCAGAGCGCTGGACTTGGTGTCGGGCTGCAGGAACGAGGGCAGCGTGGGGTGGACGGGCAAGGCCCCTAGACCTGGAGGCCCAGCCCGTGCCTCGAGCTCCACCTGTGAACACCTGCAGCTCTTCAGTGGGGGAGGGGAGCTAGTCGATGAACGATCCTGGATCGTGGTGACTCACACAGAAGAACACTTGAACTGGGACCCTTTTGTCACTTCGCATGTGAAAATCGAGTCCAGGAGGCTGGGAGACTATGAGGTTCAAGGGAAAACTGTGGAAATTTTAGATGACGTAGGAAAGTGGCTTCACGGCCTCCAGCTTGGCAGGATTTATTAAGGAACACACAAAAAAACATGGACAATAAAGAAAATAGACAAAGTCATCCTCATTAAACTTAAGAGCTTCAGTGGATCCACAGAAGCCAGAGAGGGTGTAAAGATAAGCCAAAGCTAGAAAGAAATATTTGCACCTATAAAATTGACGGCAAATTCCTTTTCAGAATATGCAATAAACTGCAAATCAGTAAGCACAAGCAACTCAGTAGAATAATGGGCAAAACAGTCTATTCAACAGGAAAAAAAGAAAGAAATGATCAGCGTATGGAAGAACCCCTGCCTCTGTGGTCATCAGGGGGATGTAAACTAAGACCGCAATGAGCTGCCGTTCACATCTGCCAAATGAGTACAACTTGAAGTCTGACAATCGGATGACATGGAGAAATGGGGTGACCCCGCCTTTCCGCCAGTGCTGGGCGGGGGGGCGGTGTGCCCTAACCCTGGGAGAGAGCGATGTGGCTCCGTCAAACACACTTGAAGATGTGCGCACGTCCACCGCAGCGATTCCACCTCTGGGCGGCTACCCTGCAGAGTCTGGCAATTGCCCCAGAGACCTGTACAGAATGGGCCACCTTAGCACAATATTTAACAGCAAAAACGGGGAAGAACTGGAATGCCCACTCACCAGCAGTAATGGACATTAGAAACACGTGCCAACCCGTAGAAAAGTTCACAGCAGTGAAAAGTGAATGAACTCCAGAAAAGTGCAAACGAGTGGAGGGAGCTCTCCAGCATCAACTTGAGGGGAAATAGGTAACGCACCAAAAATATGTAGTATGAATTCATTTGCATGAACTTCAAAGTCATGTGTCACTAGGCAATACAGATAATACTAGATAACACAGAGGAACCAGTAAGAGAGAACACAGGGAAACAAGTGGGCCTGCTAAAAACATAAAGAAAACCCATAAAACGTCAAACAGACGTCCCAGCAGGAGTCCGGCCTGAAGGAGGAGGACGGGAAGACTGTGGGAGGGGCTTCCAGGTGACCGCAAAGGTGACGGCCTCACTTGCTAGACCGAATGATGGACACGCTGATGTTCACCTGCGTGTGGCTTATGAGTGGTCTTCCCTGCTCTCATCCAGCACTTGATATTGTCACCGTGTCCTGCCTGCGTGAAGGGAACGAGGCCGGTGGGAGCATAGCGATGGAACAGATGACAGTGACCTGTACTGGCCTGGGCCTTAGAGGCTGGGGAGACGCCCAGGAAACATGGAGAAGGGGAAGCTCAAGGACGCAGTCAGGCAGGGGAAATGGGGGTGGGGATGGCAAGTCCGTGAAAGCTAAGTCAAGGTCAGTGTGTGGGGACGGAAATTTGCACAGGAAAAGTGGGGGGGTCTTTCAGGTCTGGAAGCCTCCGAGGTATTCCGTGATCAGTAGGCAGCCGGCGAAGAGCTTCAGAATGTAGCGCAGGGCACGTCATGCCAGACAGGTACCGTTCTCGCATTGTCACGGGTGCGGTTCAGCAACGCTAAGCGTACTCCTGTAGCTGTGTGTGTCACCACTGCCCGTCCCCAGCACTGTTTTGTCACCAAGCCATTATACATTTCTGTCAGGCATGCAATGGGATCGGGTTTTCCTTTTATGGGGAAAAAAACCCTAAAAGCTAGGGAGTGTCTGAGAGCAGGGTGATGACTTCAGGGAGGCCGTCTTCGGAGGTCAAGCATGGTCCAGGCCAGGGAAGGTAAGAGAGAGGGTGGAAGTGGGAGACGTCGTGTGAGAAAAGCCACAGGCCCCCAGGTGCCCCTGGGAACGCACAGGTCTCTGGTGAACTGTGGGGGAGAGGGTGGGGTGGCGTCCATGAGCCCAGGTTTCTGGGCTGGGTTCGTGCTGAGGTCGTTTACAGGAACAAAGTTATGAGAGCTTAAAAAACAGGTTGGTTGGGTGACTTTGTTTTTCAGAGCAGCTGCGATCTGTGAGTTTTACCCCACTCTGAGGCTTATCTCCATGCTGGGGACAGGTGTCGAGTCCAGTTTCGAGATAACAAAGCCAGTGGAGCAGAGGAGATGTTTCTGTAATCTCGCCTAGTTTTGCTGCAGGGAAAATGCAGTGAGTCTGTGGCTGAGAGTCAATGCCAAGTGCGAATCTGAGACTCCAATGAATGAGCTCCTGGCCAGATCCCAGGTGGTGCCCACAGCTCAGGGATCTGGCGTCCGATTCGCCAGCTCCCGACACCTCCCTGGTGTCCGTCCCATCGGGTCCCTCTTCATCTTCCTCACAGCCCAACGGGGCCTCCCCAGGAGCCTCCACTACCTGGAGGGCATCGCCCAACCGCTGACGGAGCCTGGGCCTGAACTGACCAACCGCTGCTCCTGACCCAGCCATCTGGGAGCAGCTCCTGTGAGGTGGCAGAGAAGCCGCCCCAGGATGTGGACAAGAGTGTGCACCAGGGTGGGTAACCCCAGCCTGTGAGCTGAATCCGACAGGCCCCCCCCCCACGTTTCTGCACAGGGGGGTTTGTTCATGTTTATGTGCTTGGGAGAAGTATCTTGTGACACGTGAAATTGTCACATTTCAAGGGCCATAAATAAAGCTTTATTGGAGCCCAGTCAGCTCCTCCCCGCGTCGTTCAGGGATGCTTCTGTGCTGCGTGTGACGCCAAGGGGACGGTTGCAGCAGAGTCCACAGGGCCACAAGGGCCACAGTGAACACTTCAGAGCGGACGTCCTCTGGCCCGCCACAGACCTCGGGGCACCGCTCTGGTGCTCCAGACAGGAGAGAGCGCGGGGTCTGTGGGGAGCACTCGCCTGGCCCCCCGCTCCTGCCCGGGAGTCGCCACAGCGTCTGACACACCAGTTCAGCCCCTCTTCCCTTCCAGCTTTAAATCCAGGCCCCAAGGGCAAGGCTCACCCCCTGCGGGATCCGACTCCATGACGCCACCATCCATCTGCAGAGTGTCCGATGTGTCCGTCCCTGTGCCCAGGTCCTTGCTGAGGCTGCCACAACCTAGCCCCTCCCCCCAGGGGTGCACGAAGGTCCAGCTCAGAGTCACTCTATCACCCGCACCCACCTGCTGCCTGGGCACACCTTCCTATCGATTCACTTCTCAACAAGCATTTGCTGAATCTGCACCTTGTGTTAGGAGGTGAGGATGTAATAAATAACTAATAAAAAGACAGGAGGGGCCTCTGTCCGCATGGTGTATGGCACCTAATGCATGAGAAGCATTAACAAGTAAGACCCCAAATAAGGGACTCACAGTGGCTTTGACCAGCGTCGTGAAGGAAAGCTGTGTAGGTGACGGGACCTCAGTCCTCAAGGACGCCACACAGGGGTCTGAAGGGTGATGGGTGCTCCCCGTCCAGAGGGGGGCAAGCAGCAGTCCAGCAAAGGGATCAGGGTTTTCGGAGGCTCCGGGCAGCACCGTGAATCTAAGGGACAAAGAAGGACACAGAGGACATTGTGGCCGGAGCTGGGGGAGGGGGCAGTGGTGGGAGCGTGGCAGGGACGGCGGGTTCCCTGCCCCCTCTTCGCACCTTCCCCCCCACATCCCCACACACGCACGCTTCTCTCTGGACAGGCGGGATCCTGCTTGAACATAGCCACTGAATGAATCACCCCTTGTCTACACCACAGTTATATTATCCAGCCGTAAATGTGCAGTTAAGGAGATTAATTGCATGTAAATTGCCTGAGCTGTAATTTAGTGTGGCTTGAAAAAGATTGTAACTGGTTTGGACGATGGAGTCCCACGTGTGTCAAGCAGGCACCTGTGCCTCCGAGGACTGGAGCAAAGTGTTAAGCACAGACCTGGGGCGTGGGGAGGTGGCGATAATTCTTAACGGTTACCATCTTCTCACCGCATTTCCTCATTCCTAGTTCATGGTCAAGGAGTGAAATATTTAAAAAACTGTCAGAATTGGGATACATTTTTCTCTCTCTTTTTAAACATTGTCACAAGTGTTATCGATACATCCTCCTTCCTCTTCGAATTTAAAATCTTCAGTTCGTTTGATTACATGGAGGAGAAGCCTCCGGGGAGAACCTGCTGCCCCCCCAGACGGAGGCAGGCTGCGTCTGGTCCCCAAGACTCTGCTGCAGCCTCCCAGCTCCCAGGGCGTCCCCACCTCCAGTCCCTGGAAACTCAGGATCTGTTACCAGCGTGGGCTCAGAGAGTGCTGAGTCAGCCTGGGGCCAGACGGTGAGTCACGGGCCCCACCGGGCTGATCAGCTCTGATCTGCAGTTTGGATCAAAGAACACAGGCCTGTGCTTTGGGTCCCTGGAGGCCTCTGTCCTGCTGGCCGGCAGGGGCGTCCTTGTTTGAACCCTCAACCCTCCCTTCCCCTCCCAGACCTTTCAGTACAGTTCTGTGCTGGCAGTAGGTCTGCGAGGACCTGTCAGGCTGCTTGTGCCTCAGTTTCCCCAATGGAAGCATTGAGTGAGGCTGCTCCTAAGAGGTTTGTTAGATTCATCTGCAAATGAAACAGAAGTTAACCAAAATACCTCCTTAAATCTTAAAATGCTTAATAGAGTAGGCAGATGGCAGCTGGCCAGCAAGACTAGGCCAATAATGTATTTTTTGGCCAGTACAGTTCTCACATGCACACACATGATGGTTAGCTGCTGCCCCTTGGGATGTCATACCTAAAGTTCCCAGTGCGTGGCTTTCCTCGAGGCACTGGCAGACCCCGCCCCCGTGGGCCCTGGTCCCTGGCGGGGCCCAGGAGCCGCCGGGCTGAGCAGCCGGTGGCCCTCGAAGTGGGGGCGAGCCCTGCAGCTGGTCAGGGCTCCCTCCACGCTGGGGGGAGTTTCATGCTGCTGCCGCGCTCGTGGCCTGTCTGGCTCCAATACCATCAGATTCCTGGGCCCTGCAGGCTTGAGCTTGTGACTTCTGGCTCGGACTCAGAGGATGGGAATTCCACAAAGAACACGGGGCCTGGAGCCGGAGGGGGCGGAGGACGGCCGCCGCCCCCAGAGGCCAGGCAGACGGGAAACTCGGAGTGGATTCCCAGGGTCCCCCTACTCAGCTGGGTGACATGGGGCAGGTTCGCTCATTACTGTTTCTTCAATGGTAGCACGGGGACAGCAGTGCCACCTGTCATTTACTGTGCCCCGAGGTACGCCTGGCACCCTGCACTCTCTCCAGCCCACCCTGTGTCTCCGCCAGGCATGATTTCCACTCACTCTCGACCTGGAGGCTGGGAACCTCCCCGGAGAAATGACCACGGATGCCCAGCTAGGACCCAGCCCCTGCCGGCCTGTGGTGGCTGTGTTTTGGGGCTGTTTGGCGGAGGGGGACAGGCACACTGCAGGAAGGGCTTTAGGAAGGCCCAGGCACCTGGGACTCGGCCATGGTACCAGTTAACCAGCCTCACCCTGGCCCGCCGTGCCTGGGGGAGGGGGACGGCTGCCTGCTAAGTGCCCAGCGCCCAAGCGGCTCTGCGGTGGGGTCTCTCCAAGGTCCGGAGAACATGCTGCCCTCCCTCCACACCTGTGGCCCTGAGGGGGACAGGGGTGACGGGGCCTGGGCAGCAGCCAGGGGCCTCAGAGGTTCCCCAGGAAATGGCCTGGAATACGGGTAGGGAGCCCAGCCATCCTTCAGAGTGTCCGAGGCACACCCAGAACCCCTTAAAGTACATATTATATATACTATAATATGTACACTACATGTATACAGAACAATATGCATATGCGCCCATGTTTGTGCATGCATATATATGTATACATACGTGGCATATCATGAGCCTTAGGACACACTTATACAATAAATGATGTCAAAAAGCTTCCGGTGACTAAGTTCGTCCTGGGGACGAGATGTCTGGTGTGGTGAGTTGTTAACAGCACAATGTTGTAGGTTTGAAAGTTGCTAAGAGGGTAAAAAGTTCTCATCACGAGGGAAAAACACTGTAGCTGTGTGTGAGGGTGGATGTAACTACACGGACTGTGGGTGATCATTTTGCAACGTGTTCGTACATCAGATCATTATATTGTACACCTGATACAATGTTACGTGTCAGTCATATCTCAATGTAATGAATAAATAGATCAACACATGCTTTTCCTAAGCCTTCGTGTATCTTACCATGGAGTGAGGTGTCCAAGGGGAGCTTCTGGATCTGAGAGGGGCCTCGCGCCCAGCTGTTGGAAAGGTAGCAGTCTGCCCGTGAGCTGAATCAGAGCAGCTCCCAGGGCTCATCTCCCCCAGCAGCGGAGGCCCAGAGGGAGCAACACTCGGATGCGCTCATGCTCTATTTTTATACTCCTGGGTGATACGCCTGCAGTTGTTTAGCTTGAAGGGCTGGGGGAGGCTGATTCCTTTCTACCTAGAGCTCCAGGTGCAGGTAGCGCCGAGGTACAGCCGAGGGGCGTCCGGGGACCGGGCTGACTCTGGCTGCGGCAGCCTTGCCGCTGAAGGGCAAGGTTTGGTTCCTGCCCTTGCTTTGGCTGTTCCGTTGTTTCAGGAGCATGAAAGAAGTGGACACAAAGTCCTCTGAGAGGCAAAACGAGAGCCAGGTCTGAGTTCAAGGCTGAAGGTGCACACCGGAGAGAGGATGAGGAAGGACAGAGATTTAACATAAATAGGTTTTATTTTAAACAAGTGGCAACATAGGTCCTAGAAGGCTTTGGGGGCTGAGAAGTGACTGACAACCCCGTGACCTTCATGCTATGGCGTTCTCATACTGGTCAGGAGATGCAAGAATATTCTAGAGCAGGGTTCCCCAGGAACCGCCAGGGAGCTCCCCTCCCAGATCTTCCGCAGCCAGCTGCTGGCATGTGGGCAGCTGTCCCAGGGGGAGTGTTCGGTGGCAGGAGAGCCCTCCCACCAGCAGCTTTTAATTAGGAGTGCCACCATCTCGGTGCCGAGAGCCAAGGTGGTTTTCCTCTTTCCTTAAACATCACTGACTTGGGTGCAAGAGCCGTTTTGTGGGTAACAAGAGGCAGGCTTTGTGAAGCCCTCTCATCTCGGGAAAGACAGTTGTGCAGGGACCTTCCCTCTCTGTCCCCCTCAAAATCCCTTTCTCTTCCCGCCACACCACACACCCACATGCCACCGATAAGCCAGGAACCAGTGAGGGAGTCCTACTAAAGGACAGGTTTGTCCTGAAAACGGGGATCTCTCTGGGGGAACCCCTTACCACCTGAGGCCTGTTTTAAAGCTGCAGACTCTGGGGCCCTGCAGCCTTAAAGCACCAGCAAGAGTGAGAACTTGCTGGTTAATGTGGCACGGATCCTGCGGACGTTTGAGACCTGCTGTCCTGTTATGTGCTAAGACTGTGAGCGGGGCACAAGGGAAAATGGCTGCCCTGTGACGATTTACAAATCTCTGAGACGTGACCACGGATGAGAAGGGGTGCGAGGAGACCCCTGGGCTGTCTCTCGTGGGCACGAGGCCGGACCTTTTGCAAGCATGACTTTGCAGACAACCATGAATGAGTAAGGTCCATTCCTTTCCGTTTGACACAGGGGAAAACTAGAGGCTGAGAACAGCTCAAGGCCACACAGCCAGTAAGGGGCCGAGCGGAGACTTGAATCTGGGTCAGCCAGAAACCACTCCATCTCGGCTCTGGGGCAGCTTCCCAGTCCAGGCACCAGCAGCTCCCCAGTTAACAAGCTGAATGGCGAAGGAGGCTGGGCCAGGCTGGCAGGCAGTCCGAGCCATTTGGTCCCTGCCATGACATCCCGGGGGTGGCTCAGCAGAGAGCTCTCTCTGGTCAAGGAGGCAGATGTGTGACTCTGGACTGTTGTGCAAACAAAAGAGCCACCCTCGCAATTCTCACTGTTTGTCCGGAGATTACCAGGTTCCCGCCTCCATTTGTGGAGTCTGGCAAGTGGCAGGGGTGGGGTGACCAGGATCCCCTGGTAACTTAGCAACAGCTGTAGGATCCACATTCCACACAGCAGGCCCCAGGGAGCCAGACTGGGCCAACAGCTGGGGTCTCCACATGGAGCTTCTCACCGGTGAAAGGTGGGGTGCTGCCTCAGTCCAGGAGCCTCTCCTCTGAAACCTGTGACCCTGATGTGCCTGGAAAGAAAGCCACACAGAACACTCACACCTGTCCCTCTCCTTTTCTTCCCTCTCTCCCTTCTTTTCTTCTCTTTCTTTATCCTTAGCTCAGACTCACAAAGGGCACCTACTATGTGCAAAGAGCTGAGCCTACCTAGGTCACTGGAAGAGGCAGGAAGTAGGCATGAGGTCTACTGAGTGGTGGGCATTGCCCTTGAACTTGCACAGGTTGAAAGCAGTCACTCCTCTGTTTGACTCACAGCTGGGAATATTGGGAAGCTCTTCACAGCCAGCCCCTTTCTAGGCCCGCACAGCTGCGGAAAGCCATGGGAACGGCGGAGGGCGGATTCGGGGTTAGGGGTCTGTGTGTGCATGCACCTGGGGCTTCTGCACTCACTTCCTCCTTATGTTCCCCTGGAAACCCTAGGGGATGATCATCTCACAGCCCAGCTGTTGATAATAAGTGTTTATTGAGTGTCTACTATGTGCCTGGCATGAATATGTTAGCTCATCAAATTCTCATTTTTAAAAAAAAAACTGAAGTAGATGTCCTCATTCTCAGTTTGGTAAATAGGAAAGTTGCAACCCCAAGGGTTGCATTTCTTGCCTAAAGACCTTAAGATAAGATGGTAAGAAAAGCCAGGAACCCCCCAGCAAGTGCTGACCAAGGACTCACTACTCTATGGCAGACGCATGGGTTCAAGCCCAGAACTTGTTTTGTTCCGACTCTACGCAAGTGCCTGTTGAGCCCCACGGGGAAGCTACCTGGGACTCGGGTGTATCATGTACTGCGACAGAGCCCTGGTGTTTATTTGTGCACTCGTTATTTATAAAAGCATTTACGCATTCTTTCCCTTGTTTATTCATTCAACAAATATTGATGGAGTGCCTACTGTGTGCAGGTATGGTGCCATTTACTGGGAGTTCACTGGTGACCACAAAGAGACATCGTCCTGGCTTTTGGAGTTGGCCCTCTAGAGGGGCCATAGACATTAATCTAGGAACCACACTCGTGGGGGTCATTGCCAGTCAAGAGCCACGGTCAGCCAGGAAGGAGCTGGTTTCTTTACTAGATCCTGATGCCAGGGAGCCTGACCACCTGGCCGGGAAGTGAGGTTGACCGGGGCCAGGTGAGGAAGAGGGAACTGGAGGCGGGGGTGAAGAGTTTCTGTTGTAGAGGGCCAGCACGTGCAAAGGGCCAGCACTGAGGGGAGAGACTCAGAGGGTCTGAGACACCCCCAGCCACAGATCCGCAGGCATCTCAACCGCGTCCCAACCCAACACTCAGTGAGGAGAGCCCTGAGTCCTCAGGCCACAAGCCTTTCTGCAGTCACGCCAGATTCTATCAGTTACCAAGGCTCGGGACTCTTAATCCCCTCCTTCTCAAACCTGTCGTCTTCTCTCAGTTCCTTACCTGTTCACCGGGGTCACTGAAGTGACACCACCCACTCCCTTGACCAACATTTACTGTGGGCCTGCAGGGGGCAGAACGAGCAGTCACAACCCCTGCGGTCTCCAGGCAGCTGAGCAGGAAGCCAGACACTCTCACTGGCTTTGGACTGTCTCCCTGCCCCCAGGCTTATTGCTTCCTGTCTACACCCCACACTTAGCCTGAGTGGCCTGTGTGCAAAGGACGTCTGGCAGTGTCCAACCTCCCCCCCACCCTTAAAGGGTATCCTTGACTCATGGACTAGTCCAGTTATCTCCACACAGCCCCCACCCAGTGTGTCTGTCCCCTGCCACACCCACACTGCCCCCGGAAACAGGTGCCCCTGTGAGGATCTGAAAGAGGGAACAGCCTAAGGACTGCACACCCTGGGGCACCATTTCCTCAGTACCTTTCTCACCGCTTCCCGCTGTTCATCCAGTGTGACGGGCCATTCAGTACCTTAGAGACAGACTAGAAAAGCCCAGTCACATGCTCTGTCACATGGGACCAGTGGAGCGTGGGCTCTGCTGAGCGTGGGGCTTGTTTGCCTGCTTCACGGCTGGAGGCAGATTTAAGGCTCCCTCTGCCTTCAGGTGGCTGTCAGACTGGTGGCCCTCCTGGCCCAAGCGGCCGCAGAGGTGCCGTCCGCTGCGGGCTCTAATAGTCTTAATGAAAACGCTTTATCCTTGTCTGCATTGGGCTAATCTCGGGAAAGGCCTGAGGTCACCTTTTCAAGCATCTACAACGGCTCTCAACAGCTGTTCCCTTTCAAGTTCGGGAGCAAGTATTTCAGAGCTTCACGACAGTCTCTGTAACTGTTCTATGACTTTAACTTTCAAATCTTTTTAAAAAAAATAATGCCAAATTGATTTTTACTTACTGATTTTGGTCATTTTTTTTTAAGAATGCATGCACACTTATACAAATTTTAACCCGTCCTCCCCTGGAAAGGCACGCGAGGGCAGAGAGTCCTAACTCACGGGGAAACACGCGTCGGGGTTGGACAGGTCTGGGTTTGAGTCCCGGGCACAGCACGTCCCCTCCGTTTGGTGTTGGACTGGGTGCTCCCTCTCTGAGCACTTGGTCTATTCACAGAGAAAGCAAGAATCATCACACAGCGTGTCTTGCAGGTGGAAGGAGACCTAAAGCTCACTTGTGGAAGCCCTAGTTCAAGGCGAGTGGGAGTTCAAATCCTCCCCTCCTCTAGGTCTGATGAGCTTGTTGCTGACCAGAGCCGGCGACCACACGCTGTGTGCGCGCCACTGACCAAACCCTGTACCTGCAGAAGTCTCTCCCCCCGGGCCTCAGGGCGATCTCAGCATTCTCTCAGTGCAGCCTTAACCAACCCATCACAGTTCTCCAAGAGATGAAACACGTCACCGTGTTGACCTCTGACCCTCATGACTCAGAAACTGGGTGTGGCAGAAGCTCAGGGCAGCAGAGAGGACCCTGGGGAGGGGACCCTGACCTTTCATCGGGCTTTTCCCTCCTTCTATTTGTAAGACCATGAACTCACTGGGAATCCAAGACAACCAGCCTGTTTATCCAAAGCCCTCATTCATAGGCAAGGCAGTTGAAGAAAGCAGAAGCCAGCTTCTGCTGGTTCTAGCAAGCCACCTGGCATTGGCTGTCACTTACTAGCCAACCAGCCCATTGAACAAGGCAACCCCAGGTTTCCAAGCTGTTCTTTAGAGCTCTCTGTCAACACGAGACGCTCAGAGCCAGAAAAGGAAAGAACTCGAGGCCAGTCCTGGCTTGCTCTGTGGGGCCCAGGTCAGCAGGACCTCAGGTTCTCGGCAAGGCTGTCTAAGCTCAAAGCTGACGGCATCGCTTCCCAGCCCAGGAGGAGCACCACTGTTGGGGTCGACTGTTGGTGGCACTTTTGTGCTCTGCCCCCAAGACCTGAGCAACCCTAGACTTCTTACCCCATCTCCCTGGGCCTCCTTCACCGATCAAAGGGACTGATGGTTCCTAACTCACTGGGAGCTCAGACCACCGAATGGTGTGATGCTATGAGAGCCACTTGGGCTCGAGCCTGGAGTCGCGTTCTGTTTGTGTGGCATTCTGGGGTGGGGTGGGACAGGGGTCTGCAAGAGTCATCTGCCCTTGACACATGGAACCGAGAAAATTCCCGTTAAAATCACTGCGCTAGGTGGATGGAAGGGGCGAAAGCTCCAAAAGGGAGTCCAAGGCTGAGGAGCCAGAAGGCGGAGGTATGCGGGACAAGGAGAAGTCGTAGAAGGACCTCTTAAGTTGCTGGTTACATGTGAGATCTGGCCGGGAGGCAGCGATTGGACCGCTGAGCGTCTTCAACCGGGGCTTCTGTGGCTGGTTTCTTCCTGCTTCCCCATGTCTCGGCCACCTTCCCCGGCCACACACTCTTCTCTGTCATTTGGACCTACTTGCTTGCTGCCGGATGCAGACGTGCCTCCAAATCACTTTGCCTGGTGCGCTCCACGCTGCTCGGCCTGTGGAGGAGTTTTCTGTGCAGCCAGTGAGCACACGAGCTGCCTGCAGCTATCACGGGGAAGCCCACTGTTGACAGTGTCTGGCCGAGATTGGACCGTCCCCGGGCTGGGCCTGCTGCTCCCAGGGGCCCTTGAGAGCCAGCAGTTGTGTAAAATTTGGTTCGTCCATCTGGGTTGCTGCCCGCAGAGGGTGGAGAGCATCAATTTAGTCTGGGGAAGAGCCCGGAAACAGAGTGGGCCCATTGCCAGAAGACCCCCTGCTGACAGAAGACGGGGCCGTCTCGTTCAAAAGCGCCCACGGCAATCCGACCCTGATTAAAGAGGACTGTAAAATTGCAATGTGGGCACTGTTGCTATCCATAAAAGACCTTGTAAGAAAGATCACCAGGCAAGCTTGCTGTCCCTCTTAAGTACAGTGGTTATTCAACTCCCTCAATAACACGGGAGTAGTAAGGGGGCTCACAGAGCTTCGATGTCAGAAGATGCAGGAATGATTCATGGATTCACTCCTTTCTTATTACCTAGGGCTGCTAGTTTCCCCCCAAACCCAGCAGTCACAGAGATGGAAAAATGCTTACCACGGAGAGCAAGAAATGGAACCCAATTACCCTCTGACTGTCGAACAGCAGACCCAAAGGGTCCTCCGGAGAAGGGTCAGCCATGCCCAGTGACTCCGTGGTCCTGAGGGGGGACAGGCAGAATCAGGGTGTCTCTGCACCCCAGCCCAGCGTCCTTGCACTAATGGGGTGAGTCTGTGGCCTGCAGCTGCCACCGGCACAGCCCAAGCTGAGCTTTCTCAGTTCATGTGACCAGGATTCTGTCTACATTCTATCTAAATTCCCAGTGGGGACTTAGATCGCCTCTTGGGACTGGTGCTCTCTCCAGACCTCATGCCCCTTGCCCAGGAGACTCCTTCCCTGTTATGGTCCCCTCCCATTGTCCACACACTGTGACTGCTACTCAAGGTCATTGTCTGGCCCTCTGGAGCTCACAGACATGCCCGGATCCTCTCCCCCGTGTGCGGATTCAAACACAGCGGATGAACATGTGGCTTGATTGCCGTGACGTCTCTGGGCCTCCCAGACTGGCCTCTGGGTGGTGCTGGGGGCCCTGGCCACAGTCAGGGCTGAGCCCGTGTCCCGACACTACTCACGCTTCCTGTGAGGCCACCCATGGTGCCCAAGGGACTTGGCAGGGGTTTCGTAGGATGGCGCCTCCCCGAACTCCCTGTCACCAAAATCCCAGGCCCTTCATCACTGGACAGAGCATGAGGAAGTCCTCTGACCACCAGTCTTGATGAGAGTAAGAATATGGAGCTTTTTAAAAAATATATTTTCTTGATTATGCCATTATAGTTGTCCCATTTCCCCCTTCATTCCCCTCCACCCTGCACACTCTTCCCCCCATCCCCCCCTTTAGTTCATGTCCATGTGTCACAAGTTCTTTAGATTCTACTTTTCCCACACTACTTTGGCCCTCCCCCTATTTTCTCCCCACTGTCTATGCTACTTATTCTCTGTACCTTCTCCTCACTTCTCCTTCTCCCACTTCCCTGTTGCTAACCCTCCATGTGACCTTCATTTCTATGGTTCTGCTCCTGATCTAGCTGTCCACTTAGTTTGCTTTTGTTTTAGGTGTGGTTGTTAATCACTGTGAGCTTTTGAACCTGGGCAAGTCGTAAACACAAATTCAGCTCTGTTGAGGGCGGAGGTCCCAAAGTCTGCAGCTCAGGCCACCGAAGGTCCCTGCTGTTCTCAGAGGAGCGAGATGACAACAGGCTGGCCTGGCCAGCCCTCGCCTGAGTCTGAGGTAGAAAGAGGCAGCAGCGACCTCCCGAGACCCCCGCACATGGACCACCTTCATTATAAAAATGGGTAGACACTAGAGTAGCTCCCCATGCGGCCCCACCCCTGTTATCCACACACACACACACACACACACACACACACACTCAAGCTGTAACCTTAAGCAGTGGGCCCTGGGGCTACAGGTTGGCAAGGAAAAGGAACAGACCACACCAACACACACTACAATGTAGGTAAAACCACAAAACAACAGGCTCAGCAAAGGAAGCCAACACAAAAGACCATGTATTTACCGCGTGTGTCCGTTCATCTGAAATGCCCCGAAAAGGCACATCCACAGGCAGAGAGTGCGTGAGGGATCACCTGGTGTGCGGGTAGGAATGGGGGTGGGTGCTCAGGGACACGAAGGTTCTTCTCGGGGCACTGGAAATGTTCTGAAATTAGGTTGGGGTGCTGGTCGCACCCCTCTGTAAGTCCACGTTTCAAACATCATTGAACCGCACACTCAGAATGGATGAGTTTCATGGCAACTTACACCTCAAGCAACTGTTTATAGAACACAGTTGGCCCTGAGCCTACACCGTGAGTATCTGTGACTCACCTGCTCTCACCCCTGATAAGGAAGAACACGGGACAGGTGCCAGCTCCCCTGGATTCCCTCCAGGCCTCACGCCGGCAGCTTGTGACGAGGCAGCTCTGCTCACCATGGGTGACTGGGGGTGGCCCCACCCAGGGTCGTCCAACTCCCCGTGGCCCGGTGGGGTTTGGGGGGACCCAGAAGCCCCCAGGGTTGCATCTGATCACTGGGTGACTGTGCAGTGCCTGTCCCCAAGCTCTGCCAGGATCCCCAAAAGGGGACCAGGGCCTGTGGGCAGTAGGCCTCAGACATTGGTGCTCAAAGCCCTCTGCAGACAGCAGGGTCTGGGGCGGTGGGGGCGTCCTCCAAGTGGACTTGGTCTCTGAAGTCTGTACTTTGCCCCAACCGCAGTGACAGGTGGCTTTGTTTTCTCTCTCCTAAGGAAGTACTTGCAACGTGGGGAGCTGGGAGCCACAGCTCATGTTAGTGTTGCTGAGCTCCTCACCAGACCAGCTGGAGTGGGTCACAGGGGGGCACAGCAGGGGGGCAATGTGCCCTCTGTCCCTGTAGGCTCTGGCCTAACTCTTGCTTCTTGGGGGGCCGCAGCTGACCTTTCCCTCCACTCCCTCGCAGCTGGGGTCTGAGCGCTCACCCCGCAGGCAGCCTGGGGCATGGCGGTATGATGGGCCGGGGCGGGCCACGGGACTGGGAAAGGAACTTCAGTAGGGCTGGCAGGCTCAGCGCGGGTGGGCTTATATGCTATG